AGCCACCAGCAGATGTTTCTAGTCTCTGATTCTGTTAAATAAAATTCATAGGAGCCCATTGCTTTGGTCCAGCCTCTGCTCTGGGCTCTGTCAGGCCAGTCCAAACCACAGTGGTGTCATTCACGTTAAGTGCCACATAATCATACTGAACTCTAAAAACAGGCCAGTTTCCAAGAAGAGCAGGGCTTCTTATAGCCATCAATGAAAAGGGTTTCAGGTGAACTAGCCAGCCAGGTAAAGAGGCTGCCTTATGTAAGGAAAGCAGCTCTGAAATGACTGATTTCTTATTGTTCTCTATTTCTACTTCCCTGAGTCACTTTCCATCTGTAAATGGACTTCTGCTATTTTGTTTATTGGAACACTTGTTGTATTATAGAATTATATTATTATACTTATCAACAATTATGTTCTATTAATATATTAATTATATTATAATTATATTGTGTTATAAATTTTGTTATATATAAGGAATTATGTATAACTCATATGCAAATATATATAGGATACATACCTACACATAAACAATTTTATAATAAAATTATAAAATAATAATTACATTTCTATATAGTTATAAAATAGAGAAATAGAAATAAGTTGGATTTTGTATAAGTCTATAACTAATTGAGATATAAAGACAACATAATTATACCAGTTATATATGTAAATATAAAATCATATGTAAATGGTTAAATAAAATAATAATAATAATGATACACAAGTGTATGGGATGTAAGTATAAAATATATAAATAAGCATGAATGGGCATCCTAAGGCATAAAGTATTAGGGGTTGGAGGCATGACTCAGTTGGTAGAGTGCTATCCAATGAGCAAAAGTTGAAGGTCCTGAGTTCTAGTCCCAGTCTCAGACCTAAAAAGAAAAGAAAAAAAGAAGAGAAAAGGAATCAAGTGTTAATATACAATTGTGTTTTAAAATGTTATTGTAGAGGTGATGTAAATAGGAGTTACAGTTACATAAGTATGACAATTAATACATTTCTTTATACAATTATATCTCAGTATCAACAAGAGATTGGTTCCAGAACCCTCACAGAAAGCAAAACCTGTGGGTGCCTCTATCTCTTTTATAAGATAATGTAGAAGATGATCAGTAGGTAAAAGGTGTGGTTGGAGAGAATAGCTTGTAATAACATATAGCACAATAATAACTCTTGTCAACATTGATGAATTGTGTCCATCTAGTGTGGACTCATTACCTGACTTATATAATTATAACCCCTCTGTACATTACCTCTACAATAACAATAAATATATTTTTTAAAAAAGAAATGTTTCTAAATACTAGAGGGATGCTTGTCTGAGATGAGAAATTATCCTGGTATGATCATCACATGGCCCCCATGAGTTAAAATGGTCCATTGCACCCCACAAATATACCACTACAATTAAAAACAAGATATTTGCCAGGAGCCAGTGGCTCATGCCTGTAATCCTAGCTACTCAGGAGGCTAAGATCTGAGGATCATGGTTCAAAGTCACCCTGGGCAGGGAAGTCTGTATGACTCTTGCCTCTAACAAACAACTAGGAAAAAGCTGCAGGTAGCACTGTGGCTCAAGTGGTAGAACACTAGGCTTGAGAACAAAGAAGCTTAGGGACAAAGCCTAGGCCCTGAGTTCAAGTGTCAGGACTGGCAAAACAAACAAACATAAAAACATAGGGTATTTGCCAGGCATTGGTGACTCATGCCTATAATTCTAGCTACTTAGGAGGCTGAGATCTAATGATTGTGATTTGAAGCCAGCCTCGGCAGGAAAGTCTGTGAGACTCTTCATTTCCAATTAACCACCAGAAAAGTAGAAGTGATTCTCTGGCTCAAAGTGGTAGAGTGCTAGCCTTGAGGGACAAAGCTCAGGGACAGTGCCCAGGCTGTGTGTCCCTTCCCCTTCCCCGTCCCTTCCCCTTGCCTTCCTCTTTCTTCCCTTCCCTTCCTCTCCCTTCCAGTGCTCCTTCCGTGTCTCCTGCAGCCCAGCAGTATGCTCTCCCCAAATAAACTCTTTTCTGCCTGAACCTTGTGGCTATTTCCTTTTGGCTAAACCTTGCAAATGGTTGCTATACTGTATCGTTTTGTTTATGCCTGTTCAGTTCAGGTGTAATTTTCAGTTCATACATTTGCAACTCAAGGTTGGTTGCATCTGAGGAGACTGTAGGAAGAAGTTAGATTGGATTCAACCTGAATCATAAATTCCAGAGGCAGAATAAGGGAACCACAGCTTGAATGAGCACCACCATCTTGGAAGTACAAGAGGGAAGGGGAAACCTGTCTATTTCCAGGTTTTGGTAAAGGGTGCACAACTCAACCTGGGTGGCAAACCAGTCTGTGTCCTAGGCTCCTACCTAGCCCTCTTTAATGTATGCCCATCCAACACTCCTTGCAGTCTACCATATCTGTACTGCACCAGGCAAATCTGTCCCTTTCCTTCAGCTTTTCTGTGGTGTCATCTCCATTCCTCCTGTTCTGAAGACCCCTCTTCAACCCACCCCATCCCAGATACCTGTAAGTTCCTCTTTCAAAGCTTCTTCTCTATCCTGTCACAACACAATGTTACCCATTGACATGTGCTGGAATTTTGTGAGTGACAAGTGTAGAGAGGTGCCTGTTGGGATGCTTCTGGCAAGACTCAAGGCAAGGCTGAGTGTCTGTGGCTTCATGCCTGTAATCCTAGCTACTCAGGAGGCTGAGATCTGAGGATCATGATTTGAAATCAACTCAGGCAGGAATGTCTCAAACTTATCTGCAATTAGCCAGCAAAAAGCCAGAAGTGGAGGTGTGACTCAAGTGTTCGAATGCTAGGCTTGAGTGAAAAAGCTAAAGGATAATGCTTAGGCCCAGAGTTCAAGTCCCAGTCCTGGTACAAAAATGAAAGATTCAAACCTACCTGCTGGGATGTTGTCTTCCCAGATTTGGTCCCTCAGCCTCCAGTTCCTATCACTGCTCACATCTTCAGGGCTGCCTGGGTTCCTCAAGCCACTGTGGCTGCTGGGACAGAGGGCTAGAGAATTGGGGACTAGCAGTTTCCCATCCAGTGGCAGCCTAAAGCTAGGAGGTACATCCATACACCCACCTCCCTGTTCTCTGAAGTGTGACATGAGCTGCAAGGACCTCCCACAGGCCCAGATGTGGTGATTTATGGCTCCTTGCCTCCTCCCTGCCTGCTCCAGCCTGACCTGTGTGTCTGGAGTGTACTAATACCTGACCTTCACATAGGAACCCCAAGCTCAGGAGTCCCACTGAAGCTAGATACCCTAGGCTGCTTCTCTGTAGCCTCCCCCTGCAGAGGAGCCCTGCAGAGACACGGCTGTCATTCCTTCAGGTCCTGCTGATGGGATCAGAGGTCCACCTGCCTCAAATCGGACCCAGGCTCTCCTTTAGAAATGCCATCCTAGCTGAGAGTAGGTGGTTCAAGCCTATAGTCCCAGTCCATCTCAGGAGGCTGCGATGGGAGGATCTTGGTTCTAAGTCAACCCTGGCAAACAAATCTAAGAGGCTCTTATCTCCAGTTAACTGCCAAAAAGGTGGGGGGAGTAGAGGTGTGGCTCAAGTGGTCGAGTGCCAGCCTTGAGTGAAAAAGCCAAGTGAGAAGCACAAGGCTTTCAGTTGAAGCCCCACTCTCAACACCAAAAACAATAACAACAACAGCAAAAAGTCATCCATAAACTTCAGGCACAACAGACATGTGAAGGCACAAGCAATGCAGCAATGCCAATGCCAGACATGCAGGAGTCATTTGAGAGTGACTACGTTTCCACAGGGCTGTTGTTCATTCTACCAACATGTACAAGGCCTTTCTAGGCCTTTCTGAACCCATGAGTCTCTGGAGAGATCCTATGACTGCGCCTCCTGTTTGAGGTGCCTTAGGAAAAGACCTCTGTTCTCTTACAGAAGGAGCAATTCCAGATGTTCCTTGCAATCCCCCAGAAACCTCCTTGAGCTAGGGGAAGTTCCAGAGGGCCTGCGTACCTGTCTGGCTCACATCTTGTCCTGCTGCCATCTCAGGGTGAGGATCTGAGGTCAAAGAGGATAGAATAGGATCCTGGAAGGTGTAGGAACAATTCAGTTTCTGGAGTTAGAGACAGACTGAGAGAGAATAGTAGTGGCAGGAGACTTGGGGGGGGGTGTAGGGAGGGAGGGATCTCTGCTATGTTCCCAGCTGTCAATCAAATGTTACAGTTACGGATTGATGGGGATCAATTGATATTATAGAATGGACGACATTCCATTTTTTTCCAGATACCATAGTACCTTTAATTTATTAGCTTTCCATAACACACAGACCACACACAATCTACAGTATACAAAGTATAACTTACAAAAATATAAAAAAAAATCTTGGGTTATTTTTTAGTATTCCAACATATTAAACTGTGTTATTTCCAGATGCATATTTAAACAATCCACACCTACCTAGCATGATTATCTGTGTGAAGGATGATGTCAAGTCCTTTTTTGTTTTAAAGTAAAAAATATATATAATATATATAATCAAGAGAAAGAAATGCACAATGCTTATGTGTGCTCTTATGTATGGATAAGAGCAGTGGAGTGTGAAAGAAAATACTCATTTATGCCATAATTTAGGTGCTGCTTCCAGTAGGTGGCCCACAGGCTTTGAAACTGGGCAATTACATGGCATTTTTTTGCATGGAAAGGGAGTGAATCTGAGGCTTGCAAAGGCCGCTCAGGTTTCAAGATGGTGAACACACATGCCAATATGGTAGACACCTGCATCCCAAAGAGCAAACTTCAGGTCAGGGCCAACTTCATATCCCTTCAGAGGACCCAGGGGGCGAAGTCACTAACAAGGAAAGATTCTAGATCTTTCCAATTGATGGCCCAATAGTCAGATGTTGCTGGTACCGGCAGGATTGCCTGTACTCTCTGTCTTTTGCTTGAAGTTCCCCTGGGCCAAATCCTGGCTACAGAAGGCCAAGAGAATGTTGCTGTGCTGGACAGAGACGGGCAGTCCTGCATTCCAACCTGTCTTACCGACAGGCACAGGTTTCCACAGACATGTTGGGGTACACCTTCAGAACGACATTCCGGTTCTCATCTAGAAAAAGGACTCCAAGCGAGTTCATCTTGTCTGGGACACAGCAAGGCTCTGGAACTCCGGGAACAATGCCCACAGCTCTGACAATGCTCTGGATGGTGGCATGGTTGGATGGGCGGACAATCTGCAGGAAGAGAAGGGAGCAGGGTTACTTCGCAAGCAGGTTATGCTCTGCTGTCATTCCTTGAGTTCCTTGACTGAGAAGATAGTGGCCAAGAGGAAACGATGGGTTCCCAAGGCTGAGCACTCACACATGCTCTTAAATCAACTGTACACTGAGTCACAATTGGGTGCTGGTGGCTCATGTGTGTAATATTAGCTAGTTAGGAGACTGAGATCTGAGGATCACAGTTTTAAGATAGTTTGGGCAGACAAACCTAAGGGACTCTTATCTCCAATTAACCAATATAAAGCCTGCAGTGGATGTGTAGCTCAACTAGCAGAATGCCAGCGTTGTGTAAAAAACGACAAGTGATTGCACAAGGCCCTGAGTACAAGCCTCCAGTATCAGCACAACAAAACAAAACTTGAGTTGCAGTCTAAGCCTTCAAGAGCCCACTTCTGCCTTCTTAAGGGATAATGCATCCACTACATAGCATTTGCCACTTGGGGGTGCCAGTGCGTCACAGATCCCCAGGAGCAAGTGGAGCTGGGCAACCACTGAGGAGCTAAGGAGAATGCCCCAGCCAGCAGACCTGCCTCCCTCCAGTAATCCTGGGATTGAGTGGGAAGGGGAACTGCCCACAATTCCCATGTGTGCCTGAACTTGGGGAGTAGGTGCAGTTTTACTGGCATCCTTCCATATTGTCATCTTATCAATTCTATAGAGAGGATGTAAGTTTCTTTTTACCAGTGAAGAGACCAAAGCTTAAAACGACAAGTAACTCAAGCAAGATTCCCCAGTCAGAAAGTTGCTTGGCTTGGAAATGATGCCTAACTCAAATATATCCAAAGTCACTGCTCTGCGTTGTCCCCCTTCCCCCCCACCCCACACCTTCTCTCTCTTTCGCTGTGCTAGGACTAGTGTTTGAACTCAGGGCCTAGGTACTACCCAAGGCTAACAACACATTAGCACTTGAACCACACACACCTGTGCTTCTGTGTTTTGTTTCTTTGTTTGTTAGTTAATTGGACATAAAGAGTCTCTTACTTTCCTGCCCAGGCTGGCTTCAAACCAAGATCCTCAGATCTTAACCTCTTGAGTAGGTAAGATTACAGGTGTGAGCCACCAGCACCCAGCCAAGAAAGCCTTCTCTTGTTGGGGGAGAGGAAGGTAGATCTAACTGAACATGTGCAGCTCTGGCTAGGGTCCTGGCTAGAGTCCTGGAAGGTAGGAAGACAGCAAACTGGGCTGGTGAGTAAGTTAAATGTCAGGTCAGCTGTGAGCCTGCGGTGGTTACATCTGCCTTGGCTCTGAGCACATGCAAACCCTTCTGATAAATTGTATCTCGCTGGCATATCCCTTCCTCTCTCTTGAATATGCACAGCTTTGAGAAGAAGCCTCTTCATTCCCACACAGATTAGTATGGCCTACATCTGGGCCTGGGTTTCACTAGAGGTTCATGTTGAACTTATGCACTGACTTCCTTTCTTCGAGGGTAGACCAGAGGAACTTTGTAGAGTGATTGGGAGGAAACAGTACTGGGTGCTAAGCACAGAGATCACCAGCCCAACTTTGGCTGCAGGGACATGGATGGACAGAGCCACACCCCAGCTTGTGCAGAAGGTGAGTCTGAAGGTTAGGGCCAGCACAATGAAACAGCCCAGTGCTATGTGACATGCTGAACAGTGGCACAGGAGGGCTAGCTGCCCAGGGAGTAACTGCCCTGATCTGGAGCTCTACTGTATTGGGAGAGTCACTGAGACCAACACTTGGCTGGCTGTAGACACTTAAGGCCATGAGATCTAGGCCAGGAACAAAAGAAAGCCTGGTCCATGAGGGAACTTCCAGGACCACAAGACTTTGTACGTGGCCACTATATTAGGAACGTACTTTCAAAGACACAGGTCCTTGTGTATTTTAGAAGAGATGTTCTTATTAAAAAAATTCCAATTCAGCCCAGCATTGGTGGCTCATGTCTGTAATCCTAGCTACTCAAGAGGGTGCAATCTGAGGATCATGGTTCGAAGACAGCTGGGGAAGGAAAGTCTGTGACACTCTTGTCTCTACTTAACCACACAAAATCCAGAAGTGGAGCGTTGCTCATGTGGTAGACTGCTACATTTGAACAAAAAACAAAAAACAAAAAAACAAAACTCAGGGACAGTACCCAGGACCTGAGTTTAAGCCATAGGACTGCTCCTTCCACACCTCCCCCCCACCAAAAAAAAAAATCCACTTCAAAAGCTCAGTCAAACCAAATGCTTCCTGCCACTTTGGGACCTCCACCTACCTACCCTTTACCTTTATAGATGGGAAGTCTCTCTATTCTGATTTGCAGAGGATGCGACAGAGGTGAGGCAGGCACAAGGATGGGCCAAAAGGGGCAGACCTGAGAGTAAGGTGTAGATGCACAGGTAGAGCGCCTACCTTGGGCATGGGGAACTCGCAGGCTCCGGCACAGTAGTAGGCGTCAAAGGATTTGGGGGAGATGATCCATTCGTTCCATCCGATGTCTGCGAAGTCAACCCTCAGGTACCTCCGGGAACAGACCCGAGGTTCATCCCACTGTCGTCTCCGGGCTTTCTGCATGGTCTTCTCGTCAAAGTCCAGCACCTGTGAGGAGGCGGAGAAGGAGTCCTGACCCTTCTTCCTGCGATCCTTTCGCCCTGCCCGGGGCTTCAGTGCCCGAAAAGGGTTGGGCCATAACTCGTGCTTGTGGTAATGCTGGCCGTGGGTGGCATGCACTGGCCGCTCATCCAGCCCAGGCAGCTCATTGTCCTGGAGGGGCCCAGAAGCCTGAGCTGCCCTGCGCACTCGGGGATCTGAAGAGCTGTTGGGGGCTGTGCGGGGCTCAGATTCTCCAGATGGGAAGGGGTCATATCTCTGCAGGGTCACTGCCACGCTGTTGGGCTCGGCGATGGCCAGATCGTTGGCGTAGACAAGGATATAGGGCGCGTGGGGGCTGGGCTTCAGCACCCCAGGGTCCTTCTCCTCAGATTCTAGCTGGACGCTGAGGAACAGCTCCCCATCCCGGCGGGCTGCCTTGATGATGGAAGAGATGTCCTTGGCCTGCCACAGTCCCCGTGGTGGGGTAGCCAGGGTCATGGCCCCTCGGAGCAGCCCCTGCGTGGCTGTGTTCTGTGAGAGGCTTCGGAAGATCAAGTGCAGGCGGGCTGGTGGGCCCGGGGGGAGCAGGCAACAGGAGGAATTCTTGGCCCGTGGCTTGCATAACATCCCACGGGGCTGGGGCCACCGTGGTGGCTCCGAGTAGAAGTGGAAGGTGGCAGTGAGGATCATTTCTGAGTCCTGCATGGAGGTCAAGTTGAAGAAATACACGGCTTTCTGGTCGACCACTTCTGCAAGGGGAAGGCAGACCGCAGGCTGTTGAGTTTATTCTAGGAATCACACCTCCCTCAGGGGTTGCTTGCCCAGGGACTGGAGGGGGGCGGGGCAGAGTGCATTTAACCCAACACTTCTAGGTAGGGTAAGCACTTGTTCGTCTCTTGTAAACTTACTCACATTGAACCAGTGGGGCGCCCTGTACTGTTTTCAGTGACTAGGAGGCTAAAGCTCTTGTTTCCTGCTCTGCTCCCTTCACTGCTTCTCAAAGAACAAATCAGCAGGCAAAACTGATGCTTTCATTAAGTGCTCAATATGACTTGAGTCCAAGGTAGCCCCCCTCAGGATTTGCAGAGTCTTCTATTCTAAGCAGCCAGTTTTTGTTTGTTGTTTTTCTGCTGGTACTAGGGCTTAAACTCAGGGCCTGGGCACTGTCCTTTAGCTAGCTTTCTTGCTCAAGAATGGTGCTCTATCACTTGAGCCACAGCTCCACCTACAGTATTTGGTGGTTAATTGGAGATAAGCGCCACACAGACTTTCTTGCCTAACTGGTTTGAAACCCTGATCATCAGATCTTAACCTCCTAAGTGGCTAGGACTATAGGCAACTGGTGCCTGGCTAGGAGCCAGTGTTTAAGTGTAGTTGTTAAACACTATTTCTGTTAAAATGAGGTGAGGGCTGGGAAGGTGGCTCAGTGGTAGTGTTTGCCTCCCATGCATGAGGCCCTGGGTTCAACTCCTCAGCACTGCATAAGCAGAAAAAAACCAGAAGTGTTCTGTGGCTTAAGTGGTAGAGCACTAGCCTTGAGCTGAAGAGCTGAGGGATAGCGCCCAGGCCCAGAGTTCAGGCCCCACAACAGACCAAAAAAAAATGAGGTGAAATAAGGAGACTTTCATATTTTTTTCATTACATTCTGAGCAGCTCATAAGGGAATCTGGGGCTAAAAGCTCAGTTGCAAGTTGAACATTTTGCTATTTGTCCTACCCTGGAATTTTTTTTTGTCAGTCGTGGGGCCTAAACTCTGGGCCTAGACACTGTCCCTCAGCAATTCAGCTCAAGGCTAGCACTCTATCACTTAAGCCAACAGTACCACTTCCAGCTTCTTCTGTTTTACGTGGTGCTGAAGAATCGAACCCAGGTCCCTCATGCATGTGAAGCAAGCACTCTACCACTGTGCCACCTTCCCAGCCCCTACCTTAGAAATGTTAAGATGGGAGGGGGGAAGAAAGAGGGAGGAATAAGAGGAGGAGGGAAAGGGAAAAAGGGGGAAGGGGAGGAGGGAAGGGGAAAAGGAGAGAAGTGAGAGAGAGGAAAAGAGAAACAGAACACACACACACACACATACACACACACACACACAATGTCAGGATTGCACAAGGTCACTGCACAAAACCTTCAAAGCCCAGGTTGCCCCCTGAAGGCATAAGCCCATAAGGATCAGGACCACTCAGCAACCATCTGCATCATGGCTGGAGAGGGCTTGGCCTCTGCTTCCCCAGGGTAGCTGCCCAGCCAAGCCCTTTCCTTCTTGCCTGGTTCCACTATGTGTTTCTCAGCGTGAGCCAGGAAGCAGTCCCAGCCGTGGAGGTGAAGTAAGCTCTTACGATGACAAAATCCTCTCTTGGATTCAGAGGGGAGAAAGGGGCCTTCCTGGTGCCTTCTGGTAATGCTGCAGGCCAATGGGAGACCAAAATGGCCAGCACAGGTTTTCTCTCTTCTGCTACTGCTAAAGGTTTGTTTTCCGGGTAAAGCCAAGAGAGAAGCAAGGCCCCTCAGCCCAAAAGGCATGTATGGGTGGACATTGGGCCCCCCAATGGACATGGATCTGGGTTCTACTTCTGACACCTGCAGACTGAGGACCGGCCGGGGTTTTCAATCATAATCTGCAGTTTAATCTTCATTGCATTTAATCTTTCAATCATTTAATCTTCATTGCATTTTTTAAAACTTTATGGGGGAGGGACACATTCTCTTAAGGAGCCATAAGAGGGAACAAAGAACAAAAGGGAGAACGTTTTTGAAAGTTCTTCTAAGTACCAGTGATGGCTAAAGGCATTCCCTTGGCTAATGGTCATGATCCATCCTTAACATGGGTGTCACAGCCCTTCCAATGCATCATGCAGATAAAGCTGTGTTTGCCAGCTGTGGTGGCTTATGCCTATAATCCTAACTACTCAGGAGGCTGAGATTTGAGGATCGTGGTTTGAAGTCATCCTGGGCGGGAAAGTCCAATAGACTCTTGTCTCCAATAGACTACCAAAAAAGCCAGAAGTGGAGTTGTGGCTCAAACGGTAAAGCCTTGAGCGAAAGAAGCTCAAGGACATAGCCAGCCCTTAAGTTCAAGCCCCAGAACTGGCACACACAAAAATAAACTAAACGACAACATAAAAACAAACAAAAAAGCAGTGCTTCCCAAGTTCAAGCCCCACAACCAAAAAAGGAAAAGCAGTACTGTGGTTTCCTGTGTATTTAATTCAGCTTCCCAGGAACACAGTGGCCTTGAAAGTCATAATCTAGCAACCAGCACCCAACTCTACTTCCAACCAGCACCCATCCCTACTTCCACCACTAGGAAGATCGGGGAGCATCTCCAGTGGTAGGGGCTATGTATATGTGGCAGCTCTTTCCTGTTGTCAATCACTTGCTGGAGCCTTGTGTTATGTGCACACAAGCAGATGAGGGAAGAAAGGGGAACCAAGGAGGCTCCGCCCACCTCCTGTCCTCTGACCTGGGCAACACACTGGCTAGCAGTAGCCCTTTAGGCTGGCACATGCTCTAGCAACCATACTCACAGGCTCCATGCAGCCCTACACTCGGAGCCTTAACTTTCCTCCTCAGCTTCCTAGGATCCTCTACCTTCTGTGCTTACTGGAGGCTGAAAGAACCAGCCTAAGGCTGGCACCAGTGTGTCTCCACTGTACCTGGGACATGCAACATGAAGTTAGGTGTGCGACGTGTCAACATGTAGCATCATGGCAGTGGCTCAAGTGGTAGAGCACTAGCCTTGCGCAAATAAAGCTCAGGGACAGAGCTCAGGCCCTGATTTCAAGCCTCAGGACCAAGGATAACAAATACAAATAAAAAAGAAAGTTCTGGATTTGGGAGCCACTTAGATTTAGGAAGTCCCACTTTGAGAAGAATGCACAGCATAATTTACCAGTTATGGAGTTCTGACCTCCTGGCATAAAGACTTGGCCCAGGACTCGGTGTTGTGAAGGCATATACCTCTTTTTTCACTAGGAAAGGAGCAGGGAGGTGCCATCTATTTTATGGGTGATGAACTAGAGCTTCAGAAAGGGTGTATAACTAGCCTAAAGTCACATAGCTGGCAAAGGGCAGAATCTACCTTTAACCATATCCTTTTCCCCAAATAACAGTTCTGGCCATTACTGGGATGTACCTAAGAACAAAAGAACCAAACTTACTTTGTGCTGAAAACAATGATGCATCCTCCAAACACAAGCCACTCTTTGTATGATTTTCCTTTGTTTGCTTTTGCGATGATACTGGAGTTTGAACTCAGGGCCTCATGCTCTTGGCTTGACTTTTTCATTCAAGACTGATACTCTACTACTTGAGTCCCACATCCACTCCCACCTCATGAGCTCTTCTATTCATGCAGGCTTCCTACTGTGACCTTCAGATCTCAGCCTCTTGAGTAGCTAGGATTACAGGCGTGTGCCACCAGCCATGGGTATGGGGTAACAGACGTAGGAGGTGCTGAGCATGTGTTTCCCACTGGCTCAGTGGGGGCCAGGGGTTCACTACAACACTTCCTAGCTGTAAGGACTGAGGCAAGACACGAAACCTCTCTACATCTGTTTCCTCATCTATAAACTGGAAGAGTGTTTTAAGCACCTGCTTAAACTTAACCTATGGTTAGCTCTGCAGAGCTCACTTGAATCACAGAGCCTGGCACCCAGGACATGCTCAGAGGCATAGCCAAGTGACCCCGGGGACTGTCACTACCCTCGGGGCACCCCAAATTTGCTCTTTAATAAACAAATACACACTCATAGATTCTACCAGAGGGATCATAGTATTTACGTACATGTATTCTCATCTGAAATCACTTTGTTTTTCCATTCCTGGTTGTCCAAAAACGGTTTTCTATGGCCAACAGGAAATAGCCATTGACTATTCTTTCTGTGGAGAATTCCCTCCTCAGATGGGGTTTTGGTTTCTCATTACTGATCTGTAGACTTTCTTGACATAGTAAGGCTGCTAACCTTGTCCATCTCTCCCAATTGATCTGCTTTAGGAGTACGTATGAGATCTTGGGGTGTCTTGATAAGTTGAAGACTCACTACCCATCCAACCCCTTCCAGCGGGGCTCAGAACTCTCTTATCTCCTACCTTCCTGTTCCTAACCAGCCCCAGTCCTTGTTACTCCAGCAGTCAGCTTCTCCATACACACCCCAGGGGCTGCAGCCTTTCTACCATGGCCTTGTTCAGGGTCTGGCCTTGACTGTAGCAGCCACCCTATGACTATCGCCGATGGATGTCACACACAAACAAAGCCTGGGCTGACTTTGAACCCCAGTCCTCAGACCTCAGCCTCCTGAGCAGCTAGGATTACAGGATGAGGCATGGGCACCCAGTTACTTTCATCTGCCTGTCAGTTCATGAGGGATTCTGCTATGGCCAAGATTCCATGTATCTTTGTGTCCTTCTGGCTAACTCTCTACCAAATGAGAGGCTGAGGAAACAGGCTATGTTTGGATATGATTTATCCCCAAAGGGTTCACATGTTGGGGCATAAAACTTACTTATCCCATTTAATCCACCCCCCCTCCTGTGAAGAGGAAGTGGGGCCTTTAGGAGATAGAACCTACCAGGAGGTGGTTAGGTTATTGAGAGCCCCGCTCAGGGCCTAACATAACTTCCATGAGACTCTATTCAGTTCCCCCAGGGAGCAATTGTTATACTCGGTTAACCTGTCTGTCAAATTCTTTTCTGTAGCTGGGCACTAGTGACTCATGCCAAATCCTAGCTCCTCAAAAGGCGGAGGTCTGAATGTTGTGATTCGAACCCAGCATGGATAAGAAAATCCATGACACTCTTATCTGCAGCTAACTACCAAAAATGCTAGTAGTGGAGCTGTGGCTTAGTTGTAGAGTACTAGCCTTGAGAAAAACAAAAAAAGAAAGAAAGAAAAAGAAAACAAAACACTCAGGGACAGCACCCAGGTCCTGAGTTCAAGCCCCAGGACTGAACCCAAAACAAAAATGCTTCTCTGTGAAGGCCTTGCAGGCTCCTCCTGCTCCCTGGCTTCCTACCTTGCTGTAGGATCACTCCCTCCCCTATGTCCTCCGGCCACTGTACCATCTGCCATGCCGTGACACAGCCCCAGCATCCTTGCCAGAGCTGGTACCATGCCCTGTGGACTTTCAGCCTCCAAAAATGTGAACTAAATAAAAACCTTTTTATGAGTTTCTCAGACTCCGCTCTCTTGTGATAGCATCAGAAAATGGACTCGTACATTTGGGGAGCTGAAATGAGCTTGCCTTTGGGCAGTTTTTGATAAGTTGTGATTATAGCATAGTTCACATTTTAGAGGTGAAGTAAATGAAGTCAGGCAGGCAGGGGCTGACACTTGGAGAGGGGTAAGGAGGTGCTCTGGCTTTAACCCTTCAGGCAAGGCTGACAGGCTGTCTTCTACTGAGGTACTTCAGGAAGCAGTACAAGAGGAGCCTGCTTCAATAACAGTTAAGCGCTAACACACTGTAGACACATGTGCCAGGGCCTGGTACCAGCACATGCCATGTAGTGAATTACAAAGCAAGCAAACAAACAAAACAAGCATCTTGGTGTTGATGGCTCACCCTGGTAATCCTATCTACTCAGGAGGATGTAGTTTGAGGAGCACAATTCCAGCCTGGGCGGGAAAGTCCAGTGACTTTATTTCCAATTAACCAGGAGAAAGCTGGAAGTGGAGACATAGCTTAAGTAGCAGCCTTGAACATAAAAAGCTGAGAGACAACACTTAGGCCCCTAGTACAAGGTTCAGTACGGACAAAACAAAACAAAAAACCCCAAACAAATGTCTTTTTAAAAAAAAAACATATCATTTTAGAAGTGGGGGAAAAAACCCAGAAAACAAAAAAACCTAGATCTGGGTGCTGCGATAGGTACACATCTTGCACTCAGAACCTGAGCAATGCTGGGAATGTAGATGAAGATGCCAGCTGCAGGGGTGGGTCCATGTCTTGGCTGGGAGGGCCTGGACCCCATCACGAGCAGCCTAAGGCTGGGATGTTCTAGAAGCCGAGCTGAAATTTCCACACAGATGGTTTCCCTCACCAGAGGAGGGGTCCCTACTCAGGATCACACAGCCTCACAGATAGATCTCTAGGTCAGGAGGCAGAGACCTCCAAGGGCTAGCCAGGATTGGGAATGAAGCAAATCAGGAAGAACATAGGAAATCTAGCCACTGCTTTATACCAGGTACCAAGCCTGCCTTCTCACATTCTCTGGGTATGGGAAGCTCAGAATGGGAAAGTAACATGCACCACAGCACACAGCCAGTGGCTGGTAAGGCTGGGAATGGTGTCCAGGTTTGTCTCAGGGTTCTAAAGAAGAGGGGTCTGTCAGACAATTCTGGCCTGCATGGGAATCCTGATTTCTAACACTGGTCCATCACACTGCTACCAGACCAGGGCTTGGTTGTGCTAGAGCTGGTGAGAAAGGAAGGGGGTGGTGAGAACAGTTAATAGAGCAGCAGATAGGTGAGAAGAAGCCATCACTGCCAGTGTACAATCTGCTCTGTCTTAATTTTCTTATCTGTAAAATAGGAGTGATCGATTCCAGGCACTGTCTCCAGGCCCTTTGAAGAGTTAAAATGGAGTGTGTTACTGCTGTTTCCATGAACCCCATTCTGTGAAAAGAAAGATTGAACCAGACCTCTCGACAGACATCTCTGTGCCCAAGATGTGGCAGGTGGCTCAGAGGACTGGGTTCATGAACAAGGAAGGTCAAGTTTAAACCAACTTGAACACAATGCTTTGTACTGTCAAGAACAGCACATGATGATGCCTAATCCAGCCTGTGCTTTCTCAATTCACCATTCCTAAACCGCATGAGGAGAGACACTGGCTTGCTCTGCCCATTTCATAAACAAGTACAATCAAGTCGCTGTGGCTTGAGTGATTTATCCCAAATGTGTGTGCATGCACACATGTGCTGGTACTGGTAACTGGGGCTTGAACTCAGGGCCTGGATACTGTCCCTTAGCTACTTAGTTCAAGGCTGACACTTTATCACTTGAGCCACAGCTCCACTTCCCACCTTTTGGTCGTTAATTAGAGATAAGAGTACCACGCTTCCCCAACCCATCTGGCTTTAAACTATGATCCTCAGATCTGAGCTTCCTGAGTAGCTAGGATTACAGGTATGAGCCACTGATGACAAGCTCCAAGTGACTCTAAATACTTTTTATTCCCCCAGAAATGGACCAGATGTGCTATAAAAGGTACCAGAAAGGGTAGAGTTCCTTTCTGCTGATTGGCCTGGAACCCAGGACCTTTGCCTGGGATGTCTGCTCATTGGAGGATGAGAGGATGTTTTTCTATAACAGGTGCTCTCATGCTTGGCTATGGGAAGCCACACTTCTTGTGTCTGGCTCTGAAGCCAGGATGTGACCTACAGTGACACGGTGAGCAGGAGGTGACAGGCCTGGCATCTCCTTCCTTCTGTGTCAGGGGAGCAGCCTACAGACTGACGAATAGCCTCCTCCTCTAGAGGGCTGCAGGAGACCCTCACCCACATTTTCCAGAACAGCATTCTGCAATCATGAACAGTCACCATGACAACCAGGGTCTTCCCACCGCCCCTGCTGCCCAGGCTGCACCTCCTCTCTGACCCAGAGCAAGCAGCCATAGTCCCGCCGGCCCAGCGGGGAGACTGTTCACTGCCAGGTTCAGAAAGCCTTAGGCACAAGGCAAAGAGGGCCTCTCTGCCACTGGCCTGTGCCAAGCTCTGTCCAAAGTGTGATGTTCATCTTGGAAAAGTGGGCATGGACTGGATAGGAGACAGGTGCTCTCCTGCCCAAGTTTTGACCCCTTCTTTAAGCCCTAGTGGCTAGAACATTCTAAGCCAAAGCCCTCAAAGTCCTGGGCCCTAGAGACCCAGATCCCTTCTCTCTGCTTCCCTGTCAGCAGAACCATTCAGCGTTGGGCTGGAGCTTTACACTTCCAGCCCCAACTTCTATCAAGGCTGTGTCGTCCCTCCTGTCGGTGACCCCCTCATCCCACTGGGCTTGTGACCCGTGTGCACCCCCAGCCATGCCCGTCTCCACCTTGTGCCTAAGCTTTGTGCATGGGGTGTTCGTTGTCTACACATTGGTGCCATCCAGTGCTACTAGAAACTGGTCTATGATGGAGTCATGAGGCGTATCGCCAGTTCAAAGAAAGAATGAATGAATCAGGGAAGAGAAGGAAGAGGAAAAGCAGAGGCGCAGAGACGGGAAGGCTCAACAAGTGAGGGAGGAGGAGGATCGGGATGCCCCCAGGTCCCCTCTACTTACCCAGCTGGGCGCGGAAGCTGCGGACAGTGTTGCCTCCTCCGGGCCGGGCGCCGCGCCTGCTGTATTTGTCATAGAGCCGGAGCATGTGGACAGCGACCATGTCCTGGGCGCCCGGGCCCAGCGCGGCTGCCACTTCCCCAGGGGGGTACTGGGGGTCCTTGTCCCCCCGCAGGCCGTCGGTGGTCTCTGGCAGTGCGGACCAGGAGGAGCCCGCGTGGCTGCAGCCGGAGCCCCGAAGCACCAGGAGCAGCTGCAGAAGCGGGAGCAGCAGGCGGGACCCCAAGTCGGTCCTAGTGGGGCCACGAGCCATGGTGGGTTGACAGCGGCGGAGGGGGCCCGAGCCCAGGACCGGGAGAGGAGAGCTACGGTTCACCAGAGCTGCTGGCGGGCTCCGCGGACCGAGGGAATGTGGGGATCCCCGGGAAATCGGGGGCCTCGGGATGCTGCTAGGTACGGAGATGGGCGCGGGTCCGGCAGCCGGGCGCTTGGTGCGTCCACTCGGGCTGAGCCCCGGCCGTCCGTCCCGAGCGGGCGCTCTGCCGCCTGGCTGACGCGCCGCGAAACTTTGCCGCCCACGGCCTTCGCGCCGGGCCTAAGCGGGTTCGA